TTTTTTTGCTGCTACAAATGTATTTCTTCAATGCAGATCTATGATTGTACGTCCATCGTCCATCCCCAACTACAGCCCCATGCTCGTTCACGGTGCTTCAACAGTAACAGAAAAAAGAAATCACAAAAATATTCAATGCACATTTATTTTTTCCACACATTATTTGCCATCAACTTGCTCAACAGTCTGATGCTATTTAGAAACTGCTTATAATCTAAGCCAACCTCTCGCTGTGTGATTTAAAAAAAAAAAAAATCTATTTTAAGACTTGACATTTTCCCCAGCCGTCAGTAGGGATACACAGGTAGTTCCCATGCGTCTGCATGCAACAGGCAGCAGTGAGGAGAGTCAAACATTATTTCACAACACAGCGCAGGATAGATTATCATTTACCACGTAGAGACACATGCAAAAAACAAACCAACCAAAGGAGATGGGCATAGTATTCTCTGCCTTTGTATGTACACTTGTACGCATACAAGTCATATTTACATATCAGGCCATTAAAAACTAGGGTATTATCTTTTTTAAACATTACAAAATAGTCATATTTCATACTGAAAGTACTATATACACAAATCTTTAATTGTTGTGAAAATGTATTAATAATCACAGAGACATGAGATAAATGTATTCAAAGATCACAAGACTAAATTAATCAAGCTGTGTAAATCAAGCAGAAAGAATACAGTACAAGAAAAATTAAAGAGCTAGAGCGCAGAAGTCCATCAAGACTAAAACTGTCTGGGTGATTAGTCGGTGGGCAGGTACACATATCCAGCTTTTTAAAAAAACTAACCAAAAAAAAAAAAAAGAATGTATACTTCTGTTTATTATCATGCACTTCTTTTGACATAAGAGATTAGCACACACACAAAAAAAGTCTATATAACACCCCCCCGCCCCCCCCAAAAAAACAAACTAACCATCATTCTCTTCAGATAACAATACTGACTTTTTTTTCCGTGACATGCCGTTTAATCGTTATAGGAAAAAATAAAAACATCATGGGCTCAGTTTTGATAGTGCAAATGCCAGGTGGTCCTTTTATAGAACAAAAAAGCGCCATTTGTATCACACCAAACATTTGTTTGCACAAAAAGTGTTTTTAAACTAGGATGGTGAGATAAGTTGCTCAGACAATGCAGCCTTTTAAATGTTGCTCTAGAAACCTGTTTGCATGCAAACTGTTAGGAGCCACACGCTTTCTGTTGACCCATCTGCCCAAAAGTGCACAATCTGCAAACGCATCACCCTGAATTTGCACCGTCAAATGTCGCCTTAAAGGTTCAGCACAAACAAAACGAAACAGAGCGAGCGACTCTCCGCTGATGGATTCTTCCTCGCAGCCCTAAGGCTCAAAGAAAAGCAAGACAAAGCATCCTCAGTGTGAATTTTTGTTTTCAAGGTCCTCCTAAGCATGAATGGATCATATGGATCATGTGCATTGTTGTAATAGACCACAGTGACTGCCCGGGAACAGCTTTATTTGGCATCCTATCTAAAATTAATGGGACTCTGTGGATGTGAAAATGTCCTGATGGAGAAAATGAAAAATGTCTACTGAACTGAGTGCTAACATTTTTTGAGTCATCAATAATAAATGTTGCTTGAAATTTTCTCTCTAAATGTTTTATGAGAGGTAACAAAGAGGACGCAAGGAAAAGTGATGTGTACAATTTACAAAATAAACTGTCAAACAGAATGAGGAGCGTGTAGGAGGACTTCTACATATAGAAATGAACTTGGATAATTACAGATGGCAGGGGCTGCACGTGTGAAAGTTTCATCATTTTAGTCTAAAACAGACCACTTTTTTACCATTTCATGACCTTACTTTCTAAAATACATGGTTTTATTTCGTTTTTACAAAAGAAATAAAAAATACACATTTTTTCCATTAATCCAATTTGACAAGTCATCCCAAAAAGGAAAAACAAAGTAAACAATTTAGATTCTGCTTTGTATATTTCTTCATAAGGTAGATCTTGGTTTACTGGGATGACTGGCTCAGCCCCTGGCCCTCATGGCTGTGCTTGTCATTGTGTTGTGGTGATTGAGGGGTGGAGCTCAGGCTGCGCTCATAGCCCTGCATGTCATTGATCTGCTCCTCTTTGACTCTGACCACAGGCTGGACTCCTTCCGCCTGACTGTGGGCCTCCTTCCTCAGGTGGACACTGCCCTTCTGCAACATGTAATACAGGATGGGGTTGGACCGCGAGAGCCGCGGAGAGTCTGGGTTCGAGTCACAACCCTCCTCCTCACCTTCATTCTCCTGACTGCTCCATTGGACAGGGCTCTGAGGCTCCTGTTTGACTAGCATAGGGGGATCACGTTTTTGAGCAACAGGCCACGGAGCTGGCTGGCGGATCCATGGAGTGCGGATGGGACTGTCACCTGTAGGAGGGGTGGGCAGTGACCTTAGGTGATTTGGAAGTCCTGAGTTGAAGGAGCAATGGGGGGGCCAGCTGGGAAGATTGAGGAAATTGTGATTATGAGTCGGCTGACTGAAAATGTTTCCATTGGCTTTGCCATTGGCCTGCAGGACTGTTGGACTCGGGGCCCTCTGTTGCTGCTGGGAGAGCTCCTTTAGACAATTGTCAGAGAGCAGCAGCTGCTTTAGCACATTGAAACCACGACTCTCTCTGGTGAGAGTTTCACTTGGAGGAACCTCCTCTTCCTTCAGACCACCCGGCTGCTCAAGCTCCACCTGAACAGTTGGAGATGCAGACGTGTTTGTGCTCCCGCTGTCCACTGCTTTTGGAGAGCCGACAGTCAAAGCATCGGTTAATTCAGGGCAGAGGCGTCTCCTCTTAGCACTGGGACTTGGATAATCCCTTTGCTCCTCTTTAACCTGTATGGACTGTGATTCAACCTGGGTAGCAGTGCTACTGTAATAAGTAGCAGTCTGTTGTTTGAGCAGCTGGCTGAGGAGGCCATATTTAGCTATGACTTCTGCTGGCCGTGGTTCTGTTTTTAAGTCCTGCTGAAAGTTGGAAAGCGGGCTTTTCTTCTCACAGACACTCAGTCTCTTTCTACTGCTCACATCCTCACATTTGATGGAAGATGGTCCCAGCTCTTCCAAGACCTCTGATTTTATCTTTACGTCTAAAAGGGGCCCGTTAGAGCTGTCACAGAGGACAGAGGTGGAGGGGCTTTTCTCATAACAATCCCCAGCTACTTCCGTACTTCTCCGGTCACTCTCAATGGGCCTTTCTTTGCGGTTGAATGTAGTGCCAGCCGACCCAGTTCCTAGAAGGAGTTGGAGCACAGTACGCCTCTCAAGAAGGTTCTCAATCTGTGAGGAAGGAGGAGAAGCTTCCTTGTAACTGAAAGGAGTACCACTGCCGGAGGCTTCGTCTGACAGTGGCGTAGTGGTGGTCCTGTGTACTGGAACACTGAGCCTTTCCAACAGAGCAAGGGGCCTGTTGGCATCAAGCTCCTGACCCAGTGCTTTGCCAGAGGGAACGGGTGGGGAGGATGAAGAAGTCGTGCCACACTGAGCCAGATTCTGTAACAGTTTACTAGCACTAAAGGCTGGCTCTGAAGCCGTCTCAGCAGGGAAGGTTTTAGACTTACACAGATCAAGTGGGCTGGACTGGACATGGGGAGAGGGGTAAGAATATGGGGAGAGTGCACCACTTGGGTCTTGACTAAGAGAATAGAGGGACTGGGGTGGGGCTACAGGCCTTTCCATTGGACTTTTTGTTCTGCTCTCTTCCCAAGACATCAGCCCCTTCTGTTGACTCCGGGACATGGTGGCCATAGTTACATCAAGTGGTGAATCCTGTTTACTAGCACTTTTATTAGCCATGTCATTATTTTTGCGCTCTAGAAGAAGCTGCATGAGAGTGACCTTAGGTTGGGGTTTAAAATCTGGGCTCATTTCAGGATCCTTGATGATTGAGACATTTGATCTTGATGGCTCTGGCTTCCACTTGTTTAGCAAAGACTGTGTGAGCTTGTCTAGGGAGGAGGTCGAAAAGGAAGAAGATGATGATGAAACAGTAGAAGTGGAAGCAGAGGAGACAGTCAAAGATGAAGGTGAAAGAGATGTAGTGGAGGACTGAGTACTGGCTTTGAGAGATAACTCTGGGGCGGCAGAAAATGCTGTCATAGAAAAAGAGAGAGTGGAGGTGGAAGACAAGGAAGGAGGAGGTGTATTTTTGGGCCTTGTGTCTTGTACACTGACACAACCTCGCATAGAGAGGTCAATCGGGGAACAGCTGGAGTAAGAACTCTCAGCATCACTGTTGTCCTTGGTAATGCTTCTCTCATGGGTGGAGGATTCACTGTCTGATGTGACAGAAGAAGACCCGCTTTGAGGCAGAAGGTCACCAATATCCTCCAGGTGGCCATTCTTGGTCAGCTGCTTCTGGTTGTTGTGGTTGTTCAGCAGAAGCAGCAACAAGCTGCTGCACGTTTGTGGTGGGCGAGTTGGACGAGTGTCAAAGCCTCGCTTCTCTCTGGGAGGTTGGCTTGGAGCGTGAAGGGGAGTGGTGGGGGAGCTTTGGCTGTGGCCTCGCAGCAGAGAGGGACTCTGTGGACTGGCTACAGCTGTTCGAGGGAGTGTTGTTGTTACTGTGGTTGTTGTCAATCCATTTTGAGTTACTAAGGAACTCAGTGTGTCTGGAGTCCCCCTCACACTTGGTGGCCTTTTGTCCTGGCCATGTTGCTGGATTGCCATGGCAGCTAGTCTCTCGCTGGCAGATCTTCCTGAGAGCTGGGCTTTGAGTGCGTGCTCTCTGGAGTACTGCTGGAGGTGAGCTTCGCTGGACAGCAGCAGAGCAAGCTGACTGCAGGCCACGCTGGGTTTGGGTGAGGGTGCCGGGCTAGAACGAATTTTCACCATGTTAGCCACTGCCTTCAAACGCTCTGCACAGGACACCGATTCAGCTGTTGTGGAAGCAGCAGGAGGTGTGGCACTGTGTGCGGATCGAGGGGACTCTGGGGGTCTGTCCTGACTGTGTCCCCGGCGACTATAAGGGGTGTTGTTGTGATTTTGGAGTTTGCTCTTCCTCATTAGGCCTTTCAAGCGGCTTGAGGCTGTCCCATACACAGGTACAGGCTCTCTGTCTGCTGCTGGAGCTTTGGAAGGAGAGGGACACTCACTTGTGGGTTTGTTAGAGTGCTGAGACATTGCCACACTCTGAAGTCGTGAACTGAATGACTGAAGCAGAGAAGCTAAAAGGGTGCTCTCGCCTGCTTGAGGAGATTCCTCAAGAGCTCCATTTTGTAGGCCACCCCCTTGAACGTTCAGTTCCACTGGGGGTGAACTTATCCGCTGGTTCCCTGGATCATTCCAGGCTCCAGAGCGCAGCAAGCGAGCCTTCTTCAGATGCTGTGAGGATCCTAGTGTGGGCCCATTGGTTCCAGCCTTGGGTGTTGCTGGGCCATGGTTTGTTTGTGGGAAGGAACTGCCCATCTTGTTGTCCTGCTCATGATTGCTGTGGACAGCCTCAGACCTCTCGCCTGCCGTGGCCCCAGGCCCGGCCACCACTGGATGCATCAGTAAACCTTCCAGATAAGTTAGAACAGCTGAATCCTTGTGTGTCTCAGTGCCAGGCTCCTCCCCATGAGTCATGTTCAATACTCAGATCCCCTTATATGGCTTAGCAATGCTACTGAAAATAAAATTAATTTAGGGCATCTGGTTGACAGTGGCATGTACTTGCTAAATACCAAAAAGAGGGCAGACTTTTGCAGCAGGTAAGTATATTGAAGAGATGAAGATGAACAAGCTGGATTTATTCTCCGTCTGTAATGGCCACATTCAGCAATTTGGTGAAAAAGTTACCATGACTGGAGGCAACCTGGGGCAGGGGGTGTCCAAGGCATTGCTGCATGCCTTTAAATGCTGCTGGATCCCAGAAGGCCTCGGTTCAGCCTTGTGCGAGTGGCAAGTGAGGAGTCAGCAGGATTTCACTATTGCAATGTAGACACAATCCATGGTGGTGGATATTTGGGGTGTCAGTCCCACAGACTGGCTGTTGTTCCGTCAGTGGCACCTCTCAGCTCTGTAGATCTCCCAGTTGAGGTGGTGGGGGATCTATAAAAATGAGTGAAAGAGAAAAGAAGAGGTGGTTGGGGGGAGGGGGAAAAAGGAAAAAAATAAAACCATGTGAGAAGCAGGGATTTGTAGAGCACTATATCACATTAAATTCCCTACCTTGTCTACTATTTCTGTTACTAAGCAACATTTCAGACTGACTGCACATGGTTCCATCGCCTCTCTGCACTCTTCCCTCACAGCCACCAAAAAGATGTCAAATGTAGATTAAGCTTGATTAGATCCAAATTGAAAATTCAAGCTTACTACCTTGAAAGCATTCAGATCTTGAGCAGTAAGCCTCTCACAGTTATGTCTTTCAAAAGTGAAGGGCCTTGTGAGAGCTGTGCCTAATTCTTTATGCAGTTTGTCATTTCAACGGATTATCCTTCCTCCACCACCTCCTGCCTCCTTATGCACGTGAGCTACATCTCACACTATGCAACCCACAGTCTAGATAAAGCAACAGCCAGACACCCACTCAGGTATATACACGCAAGCAAGCCTTTAAGCATTTATGCTTATATGCATGACTGAGCAGCAGAAGTATGAGGGCATACAAAAATGGTAACAAGATTTACATATCGGGACATAATAAAATATCTGGTCATCACCAAGTCGAAGAGTTTGGTAAATGCAGCCTCAGATAAAGAACATGTGGTGTATCAAACAAAGTAATAATTCATTTTAAATGCTGTTTAACACTCTGCTTCCAAAGCAATAAGGAGTAAGTAGCAGGCAGTTGCAGCTAATCCAACAAGTGGGACCACCTCTATAAAACCCATGGTTTTGAAAGTTGCATACAGAAAGTTGAGCATACAGGTGTGTTAACACAGTGTCAAATAGGAAAGATACCAGCAGTGACCTTGGAGAATGGCTGTTGTTCAATTTAGGAAGGGTTAAAGGTCATTTTCAAGAAATATATTCATCTCAGGAGTGGAAGTCACAGAAAGTTTCTGTACAATGCTCGAAATAATTATTTTAAAAAATCTTTGGAGAGTATCCAAAATCTAAAAAAAAAAAAAAAAAAATTAACGTTAAAATTGACAGTAAAAAATGCTTGAACAAGTATGGCTTCTTTGGAAGAGTTTCAAAAAGAAAATGTATGCCGTCTATAAAAACATCTTAGTAAGGCTAATGTGTGCAGTGTAGCATCTGGAAAAAAAAAATTAAGACTACTGAAAGAAAAGGTGTTACCTCACATAGTTATGACAGCAGGAGACTTCATACTATGAGAAAATTTAAAGAAAAGCTGCACATTTTCAGTTGCAGTCTCATTAAATGCTGCATTTTTGACCAAGTCACTAGCAAGCTGTGTAACCACTATGCCCTTGAAATGGGTTGGAGGGGTCTTGTTCACGAATGAGGGAAAAATGGAGCAAGAGATCGATATGCGGATAGGTGTGGCATCTGCACTGAAGCAGGTGCTGTACCAGTCTTGTCATGGTGAAGCAAGAGCTGAGTCAAAAGGCGAGGCTCTCAATTTACTAGTCGATTTACTAGCCTCATCTATGGTCATAAGCTTTGGGTTGTGACCAAAAGAACAAAATCTCGGATACAAGCGGCCGAAATGAGTTTTCTCTGCAGGGTGTATGGGCTCTCCTTTAGAGACAGAGTGAGAAGCTCAATCATCCGGGACTCAAGAGTAGTGCCGCTGTTTCTCCACGTCTAGAGGAGCCAGTTGAGGTGGCTCAGGTATCTGGTTAGGTTGCCTCCTGGACACCTCCCTGGTGAGGTGTTCCGGACACATCCCACCGGGAGGAGACCCAGAGGAAGACCCAGGACACACTGGAGGGACTGTTTCTCAGCTGGCCTGGAAATGCCTCTGAATTCCCTGGAGGAGCTGGCCCAAGTGGCTGGGGAGAGGGAAGTCTGGGCCTCTCTACTTAAGCTACTACTCCCGCAACCCGACCCCAGATAAACATAAGAAAATGGAAGTGAAATGGATAATTCATCCATCCATCCATCCATTATCTTTTACCCACTTCTTCCGCTTTGGGTCACAGGGTTCGCCCATGTCCGGCAATCATTGTGCGAGGGGCGGGGTACACCCTGGACAGGTTGCACGTCCATCACAGGGACACATAAAGACAAACGAGACAATCATTCACTCTCTCAATCACACCTACTAACAATTTAGAGTTAAAATCAGCCTAACATGCATGTTTTTGGTCTGTGGGAGGAAACCGGAGTACCCGGAGAAAACCCACGCATGCACGGACAGAACATGCAAACTCCACCCAGAAAGGCCCTCGGACCGGGGTTTGAACCAGGAACCTGCTCGCTGAGAGGCAACAGCTCTACCAGTTGTGCCACCGTGCTGCTGGATAATTCATTTAAAATGAAAATCCCATGTTGATCGTGCAGCTCATCTATTAATCTGCCAATTGCGTGTCATATCCAATCTTATTTTGAAAAGCCATGATAGAGCGAGTCCGTGATAAACGAACCGCGAAGTAGCGAGGGACTACTGTATTGACTTAAATACCAATACTAGAGTTTTACTACGGCATCGTTTTAATCAATATCTGGCAATAAGGAATTTTGAAGCTAAACTAATTTCATTCAAAAGACAAAAACTACATTTAGCTAAATATGATGGGGAAAAAAAATAACAGCTACTTCATCTAGTGGCGTAGCAATCCAAGGGTATGAGTAACAGGCAAACTGTATTCAACTGTCCGGTGTGTGTTCTATATTAGTGGCTGAAGGATCAGGTGTGCCTGTCACAGCATACTGTTGTCAGGAGGGCAGTCAGTGACACCAGGGTGCACATTGCCATGACAGTGTCAGCAATGGTGCCCTAACATACCTCTGCTCCGAACTCTTGTCAGTGTGGTTTCCATGGATACAGGACACATCGAACAGTTCTGGCCACATCTAACAAAGGTTAATTAATACAGAGTTTCCATCTCAGCTCAACAGCTGTCCTTGCCCTTTTCCAACGCTGTCCTCACCTTTTGCACACACTGAGCAGGCCAACATTGCAGGTCAGTAGACAGGACAGCAGCTCTGTTTATGATGAAAGGCCATGGCAATCTAGACAGGCACCAGTCTAAACGCTTCACAGAGAGCTGAGGCAAAGGCCAGAAACAACTAAGCATTATGTTCTAATCAGGCTAAAATCCATCTCTGAGGACAAGGCTCCCAGTCTGTGACAGGATCAGGTCATGACAGTAAGGGCAACTAGATGACACATTACTACCCGGGTGGAAATGAACTAGAATTAAATACCATATCCAGTAAGATTGGTTCAGTTTTAAGTAAATTAAACAAACAAAAAACAAAATGGACTATTATTTAAAGAGCTCTTCAAACTATACTTTTCCAAGTTGGTGCAGTTTTGACTGCATAAAGTAAAATAATTCGATTGAGATTGGCCTGTCAGCATTGAATACAGTTTAGGGCCATCTTTAAATTGCTGACCCAAATCTGAAAAACAACAAAAGCCAACCTGGTCACACTGGGCCATCTGACATCTGTTTTCACGCTAATCTTAGATGCGTTGGATTAGGACTAGTTTACCACCAGTGAGCCTAATGTAGTCATAATAGAATGGCCTGAAACGCCACATTTGACTGGCACTGTAAACATGTTTACCTTGACCATGGCCTGGCAAGATGACTAATATGGGATAGGGCTCCTCCAATCAGCAACAGGAAAATGGAAAAAGGAGAAAAAAGCTGACACAGTTAAAGCATATGGAATTCTGTTAATTTATCTGTTGCTAGCAGTTAACTTTTGTAATTACAGTTGACCTTGTCAATGTTTTTGCCCAAATACACTTCTGTAGAGCCTGTGCAGCTTATGTCAGAGAACCATGTGATCCATGTTTATCCCTCATGTTTTACCATAAGCTTTCTTTGTTAGTTGATCATGATGTTAGAGGATTTCTGTTATAAAGGAAACATTTTTCTATAAAATCAGGAAAATTGTTTTATTCAGCAATATGGTTCACAGTCAGGGAGATAAACCAAGCCTACTACCCTGTCTATCATGCTCCTGGGGGCCTCCTATGCTGGGGTTGGTTGGGGGGCCCTATGGCCTGGTTAACTTGTCTCACAGTTCCTAGTCCAATTACAGATTGTCACTTCTATGCCGGTTGCCCTGCTTTCTGAATCAGACGAGGTTAGGCCTGGCAACCCACCAAATGCATCTCTGCATGTCCCTAACCGCCTCCATCCTGAAGGAGGGCCTCATGTCCTGCTCTGAGGGCTTAACAATATCCAACACCACATGTGGAGGCTTTTTGTGAGGTGGAGTGTGCCCATGACTAACAGTCTGGACTCTTCAAAAACAAATCTTGCAAACTGTGTCAGACAGTTTCTTTCAATCTCTTTTTTTTATTACACCCAAAAAAATGTTAAAGGAGTATTTATTTATCAATAAGGTGATTCCCAAAAGTTCACATACAATGAACAGTGTTTCCCTCAAGGTCACTTGCCTTAGCAGGGTGCTCATTTGTCAACAGGGGTGGTGGGGTGGTGGTGTTGTGCAGTGCCGGCATTTGTTTTGTTGAACGCGGGTGTTAGGATGCGTGAGAGAAGCAGGGCACTATTCAGTTTCCCCTAGATAACTTGCCATGGTGGAGAACTCATTTAGTCCGTGATTTTTGTTGACGGGGGAGAGGAATCTGAGCTGTGCGCTACTTGTACTGACTGGTTTCCAGCTTGTGTGTGTGTGTGTGGGGGGGGGGGGAGACAAAGACACATCTGAGCTACATTGTTTGTACCATCAGTTTACTAGCGGGGGAAGGGGTTCAGCATGAGCGTTGCCTTTAGCTTTTTAGCTAGCGATCCTGTATTGCGTGCCGCTAGCTTATTACTATGTTGGTGTTGGGTGGGGTGGGGGTGCGAGCAGTTCAGTTTGGTAGGCGGGGCGCTCTGCTCTGTTGACAGGGCGCCCCGCTTGTATAATGGTAGGGCAAACACTGCTACTGTAATATATGTTATACAACAACAAGGAAATGGGAAAAATGTGTTTTCCATTATAGTTTTTTT